GCATACTCTGAAACTGACCTGTGATCATATCTTTCGCTGTTCCAGTTACTGCATGACTAAATAGTTGAATTAAAAAGTCAGACGGTTGAAAAATATTCCGCTCCTCCACGTCACGTCTGTATATGTACCTAAGAATTCCATGAGTAATTGCCCACTTAGTTCTATCCTTGTGATCGTATGCTTCTGGCCATTTAAGTGGTTCTTCTTCAATGAAGCATTCTCTGCGTTCTGATTGGCCTCCCACATTAGTTCTTGACGGTTGCAGGGGAGTTTTTTTCTCATTCTCCGATCGTTCCTGCATCGTTTTCATCATTTCGTTCATCTGAGATCGTAGAATACCAAGGTCTCTTCTGTGTTCCATTTCTCTAAATCTCATTTCTTCGACCAGTCGCTGCATTTCCGATTGTATTTCTCCGTGTGACATAGATTTCTGGTTCGATAGACCAGTTGCCACAAAGTCCATTCCGATAGTAAAATTGTTCATTTCTGAACCCATTGTTGATTCTTAGAATCCCTGTGCGTTGAAACCAATAATTAAAGATGCCCTAAGTCACAGTTATCTACGACTGCGATGTACTTAATGACGGGCAAAGGATTTGAATGATATAGTTTATATTGTGACGGAAACCAAGTTGGTGATGAATAAATCGATTTAATAAACTATATGAGGAGAAAAGCTAACTCTAGCTACTACTAACAGGTATTTATAGGAGTTAATCCTCCTCGTGAATCTACAGACTAGTGACTTGTCCTCAGGCTCAATACTTCTACCCAGCCACGTATTTCCAGGTGTCACTAAGTTGTAATGACGCTTCAGCCTCCTGAGTAGTAGTGCCGTTTTGTTCAGCTTCATCTCCACCCCCATACAGCCTCATTGTAAGGATTCTTAGTATCAGGCTTAGGTATCCACCTAAGCTCAAACAACGGTCAAACCGTAACACTCAGACGGAGCGGGCAATATATATATGCCTGACATTTTGGGACTGATATCCACATTGATATCGTGAAATGACTACTTTTTGGACTTTTTTCTGTGGAGATAGGAATTAAACCCGATATATTTGCTTCCTATCTGTATATTGATGCTGCTCTGGTGTTATTTATTTGAATTAAATTTGTCTCGTTTAACATCCTTTTAGGTATCTATTGACAGAGCTACGAAGAAGGTAAGCAGATTTGGTTAGGGAAAAATGATTCAAAAAACAAATCCCGATGTACTGCTACTCTGAATTCACCAAGCTACGTGCATAGGACCTTCGTTTGGTCGATTATTTGATAAAATTTCCTTAAATTTCGTTTACTCTTCCTTCGATCAGAAAATTGCTAGGAGAGATGGAAAAGAGAAGGAAAATCCTCATTCGGCGTGAGTCGTTGAGTTGTTTGAAAAAATAACAATATGATGGTGCAGTGTGTGTGTGTTTATTGTGCTACTTGAGTCTATGACTATCTAGCACATTGGGCTCCTCTCTGACCCAGGCCACACCTTGTACAGTGCTCCTATCCTCTTCTGTTACTTGAAAGATCATTGATATATTCCCCTTGATGAATAACCATTCAGCTCAGTGTTTATCCGTGGAATTCGGCCACCTTTTCCACGGAACCTTCTACCCAAAAAAATGGTAGCGATGGAAACTGCGTGCGCGGGAAATATTACAAAAACATGCAGCCCCAGCCAGGAGATGCCTAGACACCGGGACCATATGAGGTGCGCATATTCATCTATATCTCCCTTCTTTGTAACAGTCGAGGCCGACTTGATCCAATCCACCATCTCCGTATCGGGTGCTGGGTACGCTCCGGAAACTCATCGGATGGCATCTCCTCCATAATCAAGAGTTGGTGATGAGAAAGGTTCCGACCCTACCATCTGATCTGATGATGATTAGCTTTATGATAATGGTGATAGGGGAATGTGTTGAGAGACGAAGACGATGTAGACCGCGAAAGCGATTGGGAATCATCGTCGAAGTGAGAACTTTGTTAGTCAATCTCAGCTCTGCAGACTCTGCAGTGAGAGCTGGAAGTTAGTAGGGGACACCGCTGACAGGTGTTGAGAATAGTTCCCCCCAATCGAACCAATACCTTGGTGTCGTTACTTCGAATCTGCCGAATCGCGTATGCACCTTGTTTGTTTTGCTTTGCCTTTTGAAGTAGCCCCTTAGACTGCAGATTTTGGGCTCCATCAATTCTAATTCGGATATCTGTCTCTTTGATTTGCGGAGCTTCGACCAACGCGTAAGTTCCTGGTGTTGAAATCCCCGAAGTCACTCATGAAGCAGTATTGCGGGCGGGACCAGCGAGGCACTTTAATAGACTTTGAACTTGATCGTCGACTTTGTTTATTGGTCTGTTATCACAGACACGGAAATAGATTCATGAGATTGCTTTATGAGAGGCTAGGATTAATTCCGATATAATTTGGTTGGAGACTTGTCCTCAAACTTAGTGGCTACAATGTCTTTATATATCTACGTACTTACCCCCATATTCACCATATCCGCTAGCCATTCTATATCTGGCGTGCATAGCCTAATTTATCTCATGGTTCTGGGATGGAGATGTAGTTTCCGAATAGCAGTATTCTTTTAGCTACTACAATACGTAGCAGCTTCAGATATAGTTAAGCGTGCGATTCTCCCACCTTAGCTACATGCCTCCTTGATATACTACCGGCTCGGTAATCAGTGAGATAACCGAAGCTAAACCTTAACAATAACCTTAATTACGAAACCATGAATACCTAAGACAGAAGCTTACAATCTAACACAATTAGGTTAGGAATTGCCAACTACAAACTAATCCAAACACACTTCTTGACGACATCCTCGAGTGTTGTAGTCCTCTGCTCTATGTAAGACTAGTTCTAGGACATGGTTTTTAGAACTTCCTGTGATGATTATAAGCCTTCAGGGCCTCGTTAACATCCTCCATTGTGGGTAAGCCCTCTACATCCATATCGCCAATGACGAGGAGTCTAGCATTTTTTTTTTAGTTTCCCTATAATTTCAAGGATATGATCCTTTGAAGCTCTCTGCGCTCCGCAACCTTCAGATTTTTTGCCGTTATCGCTTTTGGCGAAGCGTCGAAACTGCTGGATTTACCCACACCAGCACTCACACCAGCCGTGTTCTAGCACGGAAAGTAAACTGATGAGAAGAAGTTAAAGATCATAGAAATGGGATTCAGTGTCAAATTTATGACAGAGACGCGTCGAAACCGGCATATCTCTTTGGCAAAATTTTATTCTAGGGGGTACTAAATGCTTTGTATTGGTCTTTATTCTGAAGATAACAACTCTACAATGATAATTTGAAGAAGTTACTCGGAATTCCATATAGAACGACGTAAAACTTTTGGGCGTTAGAAATGCCCTCAATGGAAAGCTTAGCGATTCCGAAATTCTACTGCTAAATTTTTATGAAAAGATGGTGTCCTTAGGTATTCGAAGCAGGTCGAAATGCTACTGTGGAATCAAGGAAAGTCATTAATTGAAGAGATAGTTGAGTTTCACAAACCAACAATAGCTTGCCGTCAGGAGGCAGCAGCAAATTTCCTACATAAGCTTGGGGCTTTTATCTCGTGTATCATAGTACAAAGAAGTGAAACCATTAGTTAGGAATTTAAATGCATATTCCATATTAACTTCTCTCTATTAAGTACCGGAAGAATCATTGGACAGTATTTGGTGGCGGAGAATGCAGTCGAATCGTCAACAATGGATGCCCCTCTAACTATTGTTTGACCTGAACTCGGATGTGGACCTATACTGTGTCGCAATTTATCAGGGAAATTCGCCGCAAACTCGAGAGTTGAGGTCCCTAAAGCACAAGATGATTTTTATGTTCAATATTTATTGTGCTACTTGAGTGTTAGGCTATTTAGAGTATTACGCTCCTCTTTGTCTAAGGTCAAACCTCGCATAATGTTCCATCATCTTGTATGACGAAAATTTTGTGATCTAATGCCCACGATAAAATATCGTTTAGGTCAGCGTTGATGCTTAGAATTCAGCTTCATTTTTGAAGGAACATTCTTTCTAGAAAATTGGTTGAAATAGAAATTCTGTACGCGGGAAGAATTCTCAATATCCTGTAGTCCCCGCCAGGCGAGGCCGAGACACCAGGGCCACATGAAGTGCGTATATCTGCATACTTCTCTCTTTCTCTTAACAAGGGCTCACTTGTTCCAATCCAGCATCACTGTATCGGGAATCGAGTGTGCTCCGGAAGCTCACTGTATCGTTTTTCCTTTACATAAAAAGTGAAAGGATGATGATAAAGCTTCGAACCTATCGTCTGATCAGATCAAGATTAGCTTCTTAATGATGCTAGGGGGATATACCAAGAAGTGAAGAAATTACAGTACGCAAATGCGATTGGGAATCCTAATCGAAGTGAGGAAGAAAGTGCTTCTCAAGTTTGGACTCCAAGCCACTACAGCAAGAGCTGGGGGTTCGCAGGAGATACCGCTGACGGATTTTGGGTCATTTGACCGCTTCATACTATAATGTTTGGCTTTGGGGAAGTTCTCCAAAATATTCCATCAAGTCATTTTACCCAGAGAATAGGTAGCAGATACATGTGTGCATGAAATTAGTTGGTCGTAATGAAATCGCAGACAATTGTGAATTTGCCTTCATTTTCTGGTATGTCGTGCCAAGCCAACGTAGCTGTGGGTAAAGCACGTGGGTAAACGTTAGCGAAACCTGTTGACTTCCAGGATGTGCGATTAGTTTGATCTGTCTTGGGAGACGCACCACCTTTACACCTCCACTGTCCAACCTCACCGCCTTTTAATATGATTCATAAGGTCACGCACTTCTAAAGGTTATTACCCTTCTTGGCCATTACATTGCATACCCAACTATTCTACAAGTCTCATCTTGTATTCCCATATATTTCGCGATACGATTTTCTATCTTTAGCTATGTCACTCAATATTCGATGCGCGAAATGACTTTGGTCATGCTTGCGACAATTTGATAAAATTGTCACCACAAGATGTCGCTACTTGGGAGACTTCTATCTAGCACATCATCCTCGCCAAATATTATCCCAGACTCGTACCTTGAAGACCAATTTACTTTCAACTTATTGTATCCAGAACCTGAGGCATTATGCCACAAAGACCAAATTTTCCAGTTAACATCGGGTACTACTACTCATCATGGCGCAATGAATAATTTCGACTTGAACCCTGACTACGATTTAGAGATACGAGATATTCGGGTGATAATAATGCAAGAGGCTACTGCTAATACTGGATCAGCATATCTACTTTATGACAGCCACGCACCGCGCAATGCCATCACCGTAAATTCCGCAATTACAGGCGCTTCTGGCAACAACAGTATTTGCCCCACCAGTTCAAACTGTAAGCCTAGCGCTCAAAAAATCTCCAGATCTGTTGGTATCAAATCCCAAAACTCTTGTGGAGCAAGAGCCCCCATTCACTACAGTCACGTTGGACCAGAAGCAGCTAGGAACATTAGTAGTGAATCAAGTTCACAACAGTATACTCGGGAATATCAAGATGAGGTGACGGCATTTTCGAATTGTATTTTTGGAAACTCCGATATCTTAGCATATAAAGGTCCCGGTACTAAAGTACATGTACTTCCCTCGAGAGACCGCTCCTCGCTCGTGCCCAATTCACTAGCTAGTGAAAGAGCTAGCTCATTAAAAAGGTCAAGTTTTCAAACTAGCCGGCTGGCCAACTCTTCCACACCTGAAAAGGTTCTATCACCGCTCTCAGCTGGGTTATCAAGCCCGAGTACGCTGATCAAGGTTCCCTCGAAAAAGATTCTCATCACACGCATGTTTCCCGTGCGATTACAAAAAGAAACTGTATCTCAAACTGAAAACAAAAACCTACGAATTGCATCAGGCTCTAATTTTACTAGCCGCAAATTATCAGATAGTCAAAGTAAGGCACTGAATAGAAGCCATTGTCTGCAGCCAAAACCAACAAAGACTCCAATGTATGCAGTTGGCTTAGTAATTCGTCCTCCTACGTCCGTATTTCCTATGACACATGTTTCTAGATCAGGTCTTAGAAGTTTAGGGTCGCTCACAGACAATGAGTCATTTCCATCTTCTTTTGATTCAGAACAGCGATCTGGCTGTAGTATTCTGGGATATGATCATGGACTGGAATCTGTGGACTTTTTAGCGTCTAGTAATGTTGATGGTCGCATTGATATTGTTGCTCAACATTGGGATATTATTACTAGAACTTTATCGGACCTTCAAGCAGTAGCAACATTATCACTTCTTCCTATGCTAAGACAAACTTTAGCTGGACATTCTAATCTCAGAAAGGAATTTCAATACTTCGGCAACCGTACCCCACGTTCTGCGACAAATGAAACTAAAGAACTGATAAATTTCCAAGCTCCAAGAGTAAATTCTAAAAATATACAGCTAACGGCCAATTGTTTAATGCAGACAGAAAAATTACAGAAAGCAGTCGAAGCCTCTCGCCAGCGCATCGTAACTGGGATCAAAGCTCGCCAAGTTATTACTGGGCAGGGCAGATGGGGTATATGGCGAGATCAAGCTCGAGTAATAAATCGATGGGCCGGAGGAAAGGATCAAAGCTTTTTTTTCTTCAATTTACTAACGGCATTTCTTGGAAATCATACAGATTGGCTTCAAGCTCTTGGACCAAGGTGCTACAGGCAGCGATATGTAAAAAAACAGAGAGCAGTAAAAGACGATCATATGAACCTGCCCTCACGGACAGTTATAATCTCAAATAACAAAGTAGTAGCTCGTCGGCTGGCATTTTTACTTTCATCATTCTTGCCTCCAAGGAATATACTGGGTAGACATCAAAGACCTAGAAGTTCAGTTTCACCTGATGCCAGCTTAGAATCCCCAACGCGACTTACTTCCAAGCCAATACTAACAAAAGATTCTAAAAATGGATCTCATAATTTTGCTGATGCTGGAATAACTGACCACCCCCAATCACGAATCTATCCTAATATTCTTACTCAGTACTCGAGCAGATTAGACTTTTGTAAACAGTCTGAAAGAGATGCGCAATTTACCACATCGAATAGAACTGCGAACTTACCTATACCTGGGAGTCACTTAGGTGCTCGCAAGAGTACTACCTCAACTGCATCTACAGCAACACCTATAACAACAATCCCATATTTCTCAACTAGGAGATACGCCAGAAATTCCAAGTCTTTTTTGAATACAGAGAATAACGGAAGTCTAGCTGCAGATGATCTTCTTCGTTTGAACCAACGTAGAACCATACCCGACTTAGAGAATAACCAAGCTCCAGGGTGGGGGAACGTTATCAGTGGACTTTGGAGTAGCTCTAAAAGAGCATGCTCAAATCCTACAAATAGTCAAGTCACACCATTTATCTCTAGCTTAGATATTCAAAATTCACAGAAAATTATCAACCTCCAAAGAAAAAATCAAGGGACTGAACGGAAGACTGCGACGAATATAGGTTTTCCGAAGAATGATATTAACCGTCATACAACAAGAGATTCAAATCGCTCCAGTATTGTTATGACGATATCGAATGATGCGTCAGCCCAAATGCCGCTTGAAGAGGAAACGGAAGGCAAGAATCGAGTTTTATATTCTCCAGGAGCTTACGAGTCTTCAGTCAAGACTTCTTTCAACAAAGAAGATGGTGTTATTGACATAGAAGTCCCCTTGCCAGACTATCTAGGTCTCGAAACCAACGTCAGTTCACCATCAAGCAGCGGCTATCAATCAACACCCGATCTCGATAACCACATGGAATCCTTTGAGCACTCTTTTCCGACGGACCTTGATCCTAATACCAATCTGAATGTTGGTGGCTGGCTTCCTCAGTTCTGCCCAGACTTTACTGTACAAGCAGTGCCTAATTATGACGAGTTAATTGATGAGATCAAAGATTCTTTACGTTCTGAACCAACACCTTCATCTGTTAGCCATAAAGTTCAAGGTTGGGCTACTATAAGTAGTGCTATTATCGCTGATAGCACTAATTTCACAATTAAGAGAATCCTATATCGTCGCCTAATTCAGGCTCAACCCACAATTCATGAAACATCAAAAACTGGTTACTGCCAATTTAACGAATCTCACCTATCAACCAATCAAACGTCATTAGCGGAAGATCAAGAAGATGGTTGTTTTATTGAAGAGCCTATCGTATCAATGGATCCCAAATTGACAGAGGCAGTTGAAAAAATTACAGCACAATCAGGACATTCAAATATTTTGTTTGAAGGTGCGCCTGGATCGACGACGCGGAGAAAAAACTGCCTCAACCGTTCCCCGCCAGAAATAGTGAGTCCAGGCCTTTGCGAGGTGCCCAGAAACGAATGTAAGCATATTGTTTTGGGCGCGCTCGAACAGATCGTAAAAGAAGTAGCCGAAGACAAAAACTCCGGTGGATCCGGAAATGAGGTCGACAACTTCCTTAGAAGAAGTGTTAGAAACTGGCTTTCAAATTTGGACCAGGAAGACTAAGGACTTCCCTACCAAAAAAGGGACTAATTATATTTCTGAATAAAAAAGAAACCCTTTAAGGAACCTATGGTGTCGGAGTATGGAGAAAGGACACGGCTTCCATATGCTTTAAAATAACAACGGCCATTTTCTACAACGATACCCATTTCTTATTATCGAGCAAATAATCATAAATTTGTTGGCGTTTGTTTGAAGGCAGATAGGGTGGCATATTTTTGAGGTTTTAATTAAATACTGGTCATGCATAGCGGGAGCATCGAGTGTGATTATCTTGGAGTTCTACAGTTCATGGATAGAGCAACTCATGCTGAAAAGGTTCCTGATTTTGCGTCTTCTTTCAATGGCTGATAGGGGATTCTAGTGGAGTATGGCGAATAATTGGTAAATGGGCTGAATATAGCTATGTCATGATTGTAGGAAAGTCGCTGTGACCGATTGGCCCAACCTAGCTTTTAAAATGCCCCAGGTGACCTTCAAAATTATTTGCACAGTTGATATGGTGACGGTAATTACTAATAGTTATCTTCAGTCTAAAACAATGAAATCATACATGATAAACCCGAGCTTCATACAAGGGCATAATTTTCACGTCATGTTATAATGAGCTGCTGGGACAGGTGATTGTAACCTTACAACTTTTCGGGCGCTTCGAAGAAAATTAAATGGAGTGATACCCTTTCTAACAAACATAGCCTATATTTGCAGATAACAAGGTATAAATCATGAAAATGTCCCGCGTTCATACTCGACAACTCTAACTTTAGAGAAATTAAAGCCCTAGATTTCCCTCGCAAGTACCAATGCAGGAAAGTTTCGAATAATTTGGTTATTCATTCATGCATATAAGCATATCAAGACATGTTATGTTGTATCTCTGTATTTGAAGCAGCGATCTCTAGTATCAATTGTGATGGGTCTCCAAGCTATGCAGAACCTATTTTTCAGACTGGCCTGGACAATGTTCCACAGCATCATCGAGCTATGGCAAGGTTAAAAGTGTCTAGACTCTCGCAATCGAAGACATGGCGCGCTCACCGCTTTTCAAACTGAAGAACTCCTAGCCAGAATTCGAAATTATACACGAGCCGAGATTGTATATGTTCTTAGCATATCTTGTATCTCTGTTCTAGTTTCTCTCTCTCTAGTTCACTTTGAAAATCTACCTTGCAGATTTTTGAACCATGATTTTGTCCTGTGGATTTTTGTATTCTCTTGGCCATGCGCTTGAAGGAAATCTAGGGCCAGGGAATGAGTGGATGAGAGGTGTGGTCATCGAGATGAGGGTCTATTAGGTCGTACTCGTTTATTTGAGGAGGCTTTGGTTGCATCCGATCCTGTTATGAGGGAGAGATTGACGTTGTGGAGAGTCCTGAATTAATATCTCGTGTGCCAACTTCTGTGTTTCGGGTTGAAAGTCATGTGGTTTATCTTTAAATATATCACATGCAACGATCAGTATTCTACTGTTTTTTAATCGTAAACTGCCTGTAAGATGACCATATCTGGTCCCTCAGCAACACTGTGCGAGGAGCCTCTCCTCAACCTATCCGTAGAGCAGTAAGTGAGTGAGTGATGTTGTTTGTTGTTTGTTGTACTACTTGAGTCTTAGACTATCTAGCACATTGGGCTTCTTTCTGACCCACGCCATACCTTTTACAGTGCTCCTTGCCTCTCATAATTCTTGAAAGATCAGTGATATTTTGCCTGTGATGAATATCCATTCAGCTCAATGCTTACCCATGGAATTCGGCCACCTTTTGCACAATACCTTCCACCCAAAAAAGATAAGAGTGGTAGCAATGGAAACTGCGTGCGCGGGAAATATTCTCTAAAATTCCGTAGACCTAGTTATATAGGCGTGCACATCAATCTATATCTCCCTTCTTTGTAACATTGGAGGCCATATTGATCCAATCCACCATCTCCGTATCGGGTGCTGGGTGCGTCCCGGATACTCATCGGATGGCTTCTCCTTCATGATCAAGTGTTGGTGACGAGAAGGGCTCCAACCCTACTTTTTGATCAGATGGTGGTTAGCCTCATGATAATGGTGATAGGGGAATGTATTGAGATACGAAGACGATACAGATGGCGAAAGCAATTGGGAATCCTCATGGAAGTGAGGACTTTGTTACTCAATCTCGGTTCTACAGACTCGACACTGAGAGCCGGAGGTTCGTAGGGGACACCGCTGACAGGTGTTGAAAATAGTTCCCCTCCGTAGAGCAGTAACATCTTGTGTTCTTCCTGCAGCTTCTTTTGGAGTCGAGACCTGGTGGCCAGTTCGCAACAGATTTACCAACAGGACTATCTTCAACCGAGTTGAAAGACAAATTTCCGCTTTACGCAATGTCGATATGGCGGGCGCTAGAGCTATTCTGCCCATATACCGGACAACACCAATTCAAATACTCTTGTGCGAGTCAGGGCTGCTTCCTCCTGATTCGGAACTAGATTACAAGTCCAAACACTCGATACTACGCATCCATCGCCTTGGATTCCAGACATCCTTTACGCCGGCGGATCTCCAAGATCCGGGTACAAGCTCTCCGCGTCTCTCGCCTTGCCAGGTGGGTTCTTGAGGCTCCGAATACAGAAACTATTGATCCTTGTTGTGCCGGCTCGGTTGAGTTGTTAGGAGACAGGGGAACGGAGGATGGGCTGCTGGATCAGGAAAGGGTGGAAAATACAGGCTGGTGCACAGACGCTGTTCATGTACACTACAATCTCTTCACCTGGCAAGTTAAGTAAATTAATCTATCCAAAATAATATCATACTTCACATCATCCATTAGATGATATTATCAATCGTCGGGATGCAAATCTAGCATCACCTTCATAGATCACCATCTGATACGCACTCAGTGTCAATCGTGCCATCACCCAGCGTGAGCTCGCCATCTCCGCAACTCACCATTGCACATGAGCCCGTGTAACTCCACCGACGGACAGCAGAGACATAATTGCTATATACCTCACAGCTCATAACCACAACATTCCTCTTATCCAGACACCTTGGATTACCAAAGAATCATGGCATGAAAGCAAAATGCAGGTCACCAAGCTTCCAATTGATATCTCTACAGGAATCTCTTTCAACGGCTTGGTAGCTGTTGGTAGCACTCGGTGGCTACGGTTTCTATCATATGCTTAAATACTGGTGTAAAATGGTTGTGTATTTGTTGCCTCTATTTTATCTATACAATGAGGGATCCATATCAGTATTTACTTAGGTGCCCGTGAACGCCACACTTAACCTTGCTACCTAAGGTATCTACGTACCATAGGCTACTTTGGATCCGAACACCGGGAACTCTCTATTCTATTTAAACTATCCCCCAGAATTCACCCGCATTCATGCTTTTCCAAAAATATTAATTCCAGCATAAATCTTATTGAAATGCAGAAGAGATAAGATTTACAATAAGATGAAGCTCGGGCCATGAGCTCGTATGCAATATGCAACAGTAGGTAGCAATATTCATCTGATAGCGTTGTTTCTCAATCTTAGAACGACAGCTACCGTAGGTTTTATTTGGGGCGAATTAACCAATAAATTATATTAAGATTACCTATACCTACTACCTCTCCCATCAGACTACTCTCTAGAGGCAATCTATACAGGAAAAGTTTTCTACTTCAGCTCTGACCACCTTTCCTTCTATGACTAATTAATGACTGACCTAAAGCTCCTCCCTGATTAGTTTCAGAGTTAAGTTTACTCCAAGCGGATTGGGGTAATGTATGCAAGAGTATTCCTACAGATAGCCATACTAAAGATGAGATTGTTGTCTGCACATCCGACTGGGAACGCTTTTTTTTGGTGTAAATTGTTTAGTTGACCAGCATCCTGGCTTCTTGCATACAAAGCAGTTTTTGGTGCGTTGTCGACGAAGATAATTCTGACTTTGGTGGGTGGGTTTGTATTTTGCTGGAATTGCTGGGCACGACCAAATTGGCTGTTAACACGTATTATAAAGAGATGGATCTTGATGAAGAGGAACGTATCTAATGTCGTGAATTACAAGGAGTCATAATTAACTATATGACATTGAGACTGGACACAGTAATGAAAGAACGCCTGCACGCTAAGACACTTGCAAGTGATGCACAATTACAACATTCCCCCTCATCGTGCACAGTGTTAGGAAACACTTCACAGCATCTCAACGTTAGACAAAGGCTTTGTCAGAGCATCAGCGCGTTTTCTACTGGTTGGGATATATTGAATATCAATAAGTCCTCGACTAAACTGTTGTCGACAATAATGGCTGCGCAACTTTATATGACGCGAAAGCTTATGGTTATTGTGGTTTCTTACCAATGAAATTTTCGACTGATTATCCACAAATATTGTAGTACAATTACTTCCTTTTATCTGATCTCTAAGCCCAATCTTGTCGAGAATCTCACTGAACCAAGTCACTTGTCGGCACGTCTCTGTGATTGCAAGATACTCAGCTTCTGTACTCGAAAGCACGACGTCTCGTTGAAGATGCGATCTCCAAGCAATTAGGCCTATAAGCAAGATTAGGGAGCCCGAAGTTGAACGAGATGTAGATGGATCCCCTGCAAAGTCCGAATCTGAATAAGTTTCAAGCATGATGTTTTTGTCTTTTGAGTAAGTGAGACCAGCATCAGGGTCCTTACTAATATATTTGAGAACATGCTTTGCAGCTAGGAGGTGCTCTTCAGACGGATTTTGAAGGAAACGAGCGAGGTGGTTAGTTGCAAACGTGATATTAGGGCATGTTTAGTTGGTGTCATGTAGAGACATGATTCATTCATGAGTTGATATTGTTCAGACGATCATGACTATATCACAACGTCATGTACAGGCACGCCTCATCGTTTGTACCTGTTGTATCAACCATGACTATGTCTCAGTGATACGAGAAATATCATTGACTAGTTACTAGAAACCTAATCAAGATCCTAAACACACAACTGAGACTAGGAGAATTTTACTGAGTAAGTTATTATTCTGATGAATCTAGATC